GTAGTTTCGCTTTCACAACAAAACACAGCGTCACACACGGTGGGCTTGAGTGAGCTGCAGCCGGCGGGCTAGAGTGAGGAACGGCCGGCGGGCTGGAGAACGGCGTGGCCGGCGGATTCGACGAAGCAGCGCCCGGCGGGCTTGCGGCAACCACATGTGACGACCCTGTGCTGGACTTCGCTTCGTCCACGGTAAAAGCCGATCCGGCGATCCACAGCGCGAAATTTCAGCGTCTTCAGGACATGGCGACAGCAACAATACTACAGCGAGAATAAAAGTTACGCCTTCTTTCTTTGCGTGAACATTTGGGCGGTGTTATGCAAATCTTCCCACATCGTGACGTAGACATGTGGGGGCGTGTTAGAACGAGCCGTTTTAGGTATGCGTGGTTGACTCTTAACTTTTATAAAGAATATCTCTTTGGATTTGAGACTTTAGTCTTTGCAACTTTACAGATCTTCTTTATGCACCAAGAGCTTGTAACACTTCAAAGAGAAAGGAAAAATTTTAATCGCATCATATGACACCTTTAATCAAATGATGAAATGATTGCGATCAGCAATATACAGTAGCTGCAAGAATTGCAGTTATACATAAATTGTGCTGTGCAAACTGTATTTAGCACAGATTTGGGCCTTTAAATACCTTTAGAGGATCAGATGCTACAACAAAACAGACAGTATTCTATTATTCTATGTGATCTCCCCCTGAATGTGTGCTGACGTGACAGTGTTCAAGAAACAATGATGATACATTGTCCAGATCAGTGTTTCCCAACCTTTTTTCTGCCGCAGCACAGTGGTTGGGAAACACTGGTCCAGATGTCTGTAAAACTGTAGTACTTTTTGTACTATGCAATACTCTATTGGGTTGTTTTAATTGGATCTATAAGATAATATTTCAAACTGGCAATAAGACAGTATCAACTTCCTTCCCACTCTGGAATTATACAAAAGGTCTCTTTTATATAACTGACAAATCGCACAGGAAATGGGCTATGTTTGGATCCTTCCTAGGAGAGCGCTATTGTTTTCAATCACTGAGATATGTGGGCAGTGAAGACAGTGATCTGTTTTCTCTGGAAAGCAAAAAAGGAAACTGGAGCATTTCAAAGGGTTGGTATTAGGACAAGCTTATAAACCTCTCATCACTCCAGCATGTTATAGGAAAAAGGGGCGCTGCTCCGAAGCAGAACAATGAAAATAGCAGCTGAGGGAGAAGAGCAGAGAGACGAGGAGACCATGAAAGAGAGAAAGAAAGAGACAGACAGAAGCGCAGACACGCAAGCATTTTGAAGCTGATGTGTGTGATCCGGACAGACAGGGTGGTTGGATTAGTTCTGCTCTGTGTTGACCTGGAGTGACAGCTCAAAAGCAGAGGAGCTCTCAGACCCATAACACTCATTTAATAGAAATCAGCTTAATATACTGTAGATGTCTGTGGAACTGAGCAGCCAACCAGCTTCTGTAGACAGTGTAGTGCACATGTAATGCTGTCACCACCTATGATTCCTTAGGCCACATGAGCCATTTAAGAGATAATTCATCTTTTTTATTCAGGTTTTACAAGATTTGAATGATGTTAGTATAAGATAAAACTGTAAATCTGAGCGCGATGATGCTGGACCCTGACCGTGAATCGTTTGGTGGCGTCCACCTCGATCATCCCCCTCAGTAGGTTCTGGCAGTCTGGAGGAATGAAATGGGGCATGTGAAAGACCCCAAGCTTCACTTTCTCCAGCAAGTTCCTCAGGTTATCGTCGTCAAATGGCAAAGCACCCTGATAGAGAGAAATATTACATGTTAGAATTGTAATCAATCATATATACTGTGTGGGACAAAATCCCCCCAATATTCAGAATAATGTCAACCAATATGTATATTTCAATGGCTAAAGTCGATAAGATTTTAAAAAATATTTTATGCTCACCAGGGCTGCTTTTACGTGTATTTTTATGCAGTAAAACCAGAAATAGTGTGAAATGTTATTACCATTCAAAAGAACCGTTTTCCAATATATTTCCAAATGTAATTTATTCCTGTGATGGCAAAGCTGAATTTTCATTAGCCATTACATTCAGCGTCACATGCTCCTTCAGAAATCATTCTAATATGATGCTTTGGTGCTCAAGAAACATTTCTTATTGTTGAAAACGATTATGCTCCTTAATATTTTTATGCTACTGTGATTTTCTTTTCAGGATTGTTTGATGAATCAAAAGAGCAGGAATTATTTGATATATAATATACATTTTTGAAACAGTGTAAAAGTCATCACTGTCACTTCTAATCAATTAAATGCATCCTTGCTGAATAAAAGTATTAATTCCTTGAAAAATTATATTATCACATTTAAAAAAATAAAAAATAAAACAAATAAAATACAGTGTAATCATGTTTTCCCTTGAGATTTGGAATTACAGAGGGGCATGGATCTGTATATAAACAAATAATGGCAGAATTGAAGGAAGAGGAGTGAAAAATGCGTTGATAAAAATAAAACACCCCCACCATATTTTAGATAGTTTTATGAAGGATATCTACACAGGAAGTAGGATGCAAAATAAATCAAGAAAAGGCTGGCATAGAGAGATGATTGTGCTTTGATAATTAGCTTTGTTTTGTGCCAGATACACTTCATCATTTTCACATCAGAGAGACCCATCAGGGCCCCTGCCACTACTGAGATGTCAGAGCTTGATAAATGACAGAAAATGCAAAAGCATGACTAACGACTGGGCCACGTAATAGATGATATAATCTAGCAAAAACTAGCAAAGTAGAGAGATGATAAATAAAAAAGGACGCAGATCGCATCTCTAATGAAAGGTCTTCGAGCATTGAAAGTTCAAAGAGCAGGTTCCTGGTTGCTAAAGTTGATCAGCAGCTTGGTGTGACCATACATGTCCACTGGTGCGGAGCTGAGTGGGCATTTTCAGTTTGTTCTCTGCTGGAGCTAAGCAGCAAGGCTTGCATGGGGGATTGTGGGACTGACAGCCGAGCCGAGTAAGCAGTGAGAATGTCAAAAAGTTAAGAAATGTTTAACTTTATGCAAATGAGAGAAAAAAAATGCAGGATGGCAACCAATCACTGTGAGGTGAAGACAGTGACACCTGTCATAAGCAGTTCAAAATCTGCCGCTTATTTTTGGTGGATTCAGAACATATACTTACACATTATTGTATTTAATTCAGAAATGAAAGGGTTTTTTATGCTTTCATTTTGGCTAGGTTAGCAAAAGTGTATTAAATTGATAATGTGTGTAAACTTTGGCAATTCAGAAACAAATGTATTTATTGTATAATGTAATGCATATTGCAAACAATGTAAACTATTTATTTATTTAATCAAAAGTACAAGAACGTTTTTGAGCACCAAATCAGCATGTTAGAATGATCATGTGAAACTGAAGACTGGAGTAATGGCTGTTGAAAAATTCAGCTTTGCCATCACAGGAATAAATTACAAACAGGAATACATTTTCAAATGTATTAAAAAAAAGGAAACAGTTATTTTAAATTATAATAATATTTCACAATATTTTCACAATAATATAACACTATTTATGTTTTTACTGTATTTTTGATCAAATAAATGCAGCATTGGTGAGCATAAGAGACCTCATCAAAAATCCATCCTACCACAAACTGAGATTTGTAAATGTCTGTCAAGAACATGTCACTTGAATTTTAGTTTAATTCCCTCCTCCAAGAACTTTAAGTCTTTTGCAGTCTAAGGAAGAGTAAGAAGATGAAAGTGGATTCATAAAACGCTCAGCATGATGAATTAAAAGAGCTGATCTCACTCATGTCTGATATAAAGATGATTCACCAGTCTGAGTGAGAAACCTTTGGTGTTGTCAATCTTTTGAGCTCTGACTACAGAGCCGGTATAACACCTTGATTCTCTTAAAGCCCAACTCTTGCTTAGTTTAGCACTGAAATATCCGTGGATTCTCCCACATCCTTTGATAGACCTTCATTCAAACACAGGGGATTTCTTTTTTCCAATGCATGCTGCTGAGAGAAATTTGTCATAAGGGCAGAGGGCCATTACAGCAGAATTATATGACACAGAATGAAGTCTCTGCCATGAAAAGCTTTCACTCACCACCAAAAGTGCAAAGAGAATGACTCCACAGCTCCATACATCAGCTTTCCTGCCATCATATTTCTCCCCCTACCAGAGAGAGAAGTTAGAAGTGGAAAGAAAGCGATTCAGAGGAAGTCCCATCATGAGAGATGCCACTGAGAGCACATACTTACCCTTATAACCTCTGGGCAGGCATAGTGAGGGGATCTGAAAGAAAACAGGACAATATGTCATCATCATCCTCACCCAACCTTGGCAAAAACACCCATTAGAGAGGAAACATGCAGGACACTAATTCAGTAATAACTCCTTGTGTTTGCATGAGGATCTTCACACCATCTTTTCTGACAAACAGCTCCATGTCTAACCACCCTATACATGCTGTTGTCAAATGTTCCAATAATACAACATTAAATTGTAATGACTTTCTCCTGGGAATGTGTAAAGCAGATCTGTAATCATCTGAATTGTGTAATGTATTTTAACGGCATGGCACATATTCAGAAGCAGTTCACTATTTTTCAACACCAATTTTCTATAAATGCCTGTTTCATTGCAGGTGTCATATACCATTATGTTGATTGAGTGTGTATTGATAAAACATTAATTTAGTGGTTTACTTTCTCTGCTTTAAAAACATAACTGCTGCTCACTGTAGAGAAAGCTATTATTGCTGTTTTCCAACACCAAATTGCAAGGTTTTTATACTAAATTAAGTTTTAGTTAATGCAACATGCTCTCACTCAGTAATTTCAGTGCTTCTGTGCCCATTTTATACATAGTGCCTCAATCATTCTGGGTGGAAAGACATATAAGCTAAAAAATAATGTGATGAAACAAAGTAATATTGTTTCTGTGAATACGTCTGAGTATGCATACACACATTAGTTTTGCACACTAATTTCTCGACTGCAATATTATAAAAAATGGTAACACTTCACAATAAGGTTCAACTTGTTAATATTTTTTTAAACATTACATATCACGAACTAACAATGAACAACATTTTTACAGAATTTATTAATCTAGGTCGATGTTAATTTATAAATATACTATTTTTCGTTGTTAATTCATATTCATTCATAATATGTAATCTAAAGTTGTCTTTACGCAGCCAAGTTAGGGCTGCTCTATGCCTACTCAAAATTCAGAGTAAAGACATAATGCCACATAAAAGCCAGACTGAATTATGCCTGCTTTGACCCACCTCAGCTTCTAGTATCAAAGTACAGTATACAGCTGTAATTGCTTTTGTAAATACATTTATGCCAATTCTTAGTAAAGACACTTAAATGGCACTTCTGAAGTGCTTCTGTGCCATCATTGCAGTGTAAATTTGGCATAATTTATACAACTTTAAATGCTAAAAATGTATTACTAAATGTATAAATTAATATTAACCTAGATTTATAAATTCTAAATGCTAAAATAATAATAATTGCTTATTGTTAGTTTATTGTTAGTTCATGATACCTAATGTATTAAGTAACATGAATTGAAATGCATTGCAAAGTGTTACCAAAAAACCTACTCCATATTTAGCAACATGTTAAAATTTAAAAAATGTTAACAAGTTGAACCTTATTGTGAAGTGTTACCATTTTTTATAATACTGCAGTCGAAAAATGAAGCCTGATTTCTGTATGTGTACCCTTTAAAAACCAGTCTCCTATGACAGGGCATTTAGTTAATTGCTATGACCTTACAAATGCTGCTCCCTAGCGATCAAAATGTTTATAAGATCATACTGAGAAATTCACGTGTGCACTACAAACAGATACCGTACTCTCCACCTCATAATCATGCAAACTAAACCACAATCACTGAAATAAGAATATTTCTGCAGAAGCCTGATTTCTGCATGTGCGTCGTGGATATCCCCTATGATAGGAACATGAGGCAGGATTGATATGGCAAATCAGGGAAGCCACAGGAGGCGATTAAGCTGTTGTGAAAAGACCCTGATGGAGAGGAGTTACTCATCTAGTCCAAGATGTGGTTCATTATTTTTTGAAGATATTTTCTGTTATTTCTCAAGCACTGTTCTTCTGACTTAGGGGCAAGCTGGTTAAAGAGTCAAAAACAGTGAAATAAAACTCTTTTTCTTTTGACATTAGCATGGTTTTCACTCTGAGCTGATCTAACTTTGTGCTAGTTAGCTAGTGCTGGTTATGCCTCAGAGAACAAAAGTGGCAAAGAAAGGTTTCTTTGATGTTATTATCAAACTTGCAAGCTTAGGGGACCCAGAGTAATGGTCCAAATAGGACCAGTGGTACTAGGGAATTTTGCACTGTATTGTGGGTAATCTAGTTTCACTCGAATGAAGGTTCTGGAGGGGGATCTAATTAAATTGACTGGATTTCCAGGCAGCCTTGGACATTTTTATGTAACCACCCCTTCACTCAAAATTACCACTGGGTTGCAAACATGGCAGAGACTTTTCAGAACTAAAGCTATTTCAAAATTAGGTCAGTCCATCTGCTAAGCAAGGAATGAGCCTCCGATACAAATTAATGAATGCCTGGAACATAGATATGACTGGGAGGCTCCGTGTTGGTCTTCCTGCCATGCTGTGTTCACACGTAAGGGGTCTGCCCCTTTCAAATTCAACTGGAATCCATTAACCGTGGTAAACAGAATACATTTGTGTCAAGCAGACAGCATACGAGAAGGCTAAAGATGAATGTGTTTAATTAAAAACTGTCGTATCTGTCTAGAGATGGGAAAGTCACAATCAATAATTACAACATGCCTTCTTTGAAGGAAACCATCAAAGCCATGGCACAATTTTAGTGATGGCTAATAGGAGCAGAAATACACAGACTGAAGTCAAAGCTATGGTCTGGTCACTCGGGGCGGATTTTCAAGTCTTGATTAATCCCCATCTATGACAATATGCTCTGCTCTGTGGCACCTAGCCCTCTCGTTTTCATTGATAATGGGGCCTCTAATGGCATGCATTACACATTCAAAGGGACTATGGAAGCCTGAGTGAGGTCAGGCCATCATCTTCATAATTTTCACTAATAGTAGCAGTTCAGGAAGTGCTTTAGTGGCAGCAGGCCCAGCCGAGTGTTTCAATGCAAGACTTAGTCCTTCAGATATAGCTATCAGTTGTTAATATGGAGCCATTTCTCCAGCTCTTTTCATAATGAAGCATGCAAATAAACCAAGAGGTGCATTTGTGCATTAAACTATTAATGGGAGTGATTTTGCTAGTTTTCAACTCATGCATTATCCAGATGTCTTAATATCATCTCAAGATGATGCTATTCTTCTCAATGGCCATTTAATGTGAAGGGATTGTCTATGCAAGTCAAACCTTATGCTTTGATTGGTATTTTGATCTGAACAGAATCAAACAATTGCATGAGCATGCACTGTTTTTAGCCAAATTAAGCAAAATTGTACCAGATTATGAAATTCTTGTTTTGCGAGAAACTTTCATGTATACTGGTAATTGTTGCAGGAAAACAGAGTATGACTCACCCACAGCTGGTTTCTAAGAGACTCTGTCCAACCTGTAGAGAAGCCATGCCAAAGTCTGCTATCCTGATGTTATTCTTCTCATCCAGCAGCAGGTTCTCTGGCTTCAGGTCTCTGTGGCTACAAAACAAAATGCTTAAGTTATAAACCTCTACACATTAGCAGCTTTCTTAAGTGTCTCTTAGTCTATGGTATAAGGGTCAATGGCATGTTATGTATTTTTCTTTAATTTAATTTATTTAATGCATTATAATGTATTTATAATACACTGAAATTGCAATTCATTCAAATAATGCCTTGAATACACCTCTATGAGGAACATGTTTTTAATTAATTAATCTATATATTTATTTATTTATTTTATTTTTGGCATAAAGTCAAAAGTGTCAGGGTATCATAATATCACAAATGTATCACAAATGTCCTGATATCATAATGAAGAAAATACAATCCTTAAAAATAAGTTGCCCTGCAGTAAGTTTCATTATTAATTCTCAGAAAATAAATACTTTTAATCAAAGTGATTAGCTGCTTATTAATATTTGCGGGGGGAAAAATTATATTTGAAAAACTAAACTACGGTTGACGTGTAAACCTCCAGTGAGAAAATGGATCTATAAAGATGTTTGTGGGTTTTTTTTATTAAATGATCCAGCTTAACTAAATTTCTTATTACTTATTTAAGCTGCCAGTATCAGACTTAGCCCCAAATCTCTTGATCAGACATCTGGTAAACATCTTGATACTCTCTATCATTGTGAAATCCTCTGATCTGAAGATAAAAATGCAGAGCTTTCTTTGCCAGTGTCAAGGAGCGAAGCCTCTTTCATCCTGAGTGGGCAAGTGATCGAGGAACACAAGACCATTTTCAGCCCAAGAGATCAAAAAGCAGCTTGTACATCTCAAGTATCTTTCAAAAGACAGCTGATCGTGACCTGTGAGCCAATGTGCATTTACTGAAGCTCATCATTTGGGATGATTTGGCAACAACAACTGTCCAATAATTGTTGGTGGGATAGAAACGTGACTTGAACCAGAAATACTGTCCTCCTCCTCCTTTTGCCGCAATAACTACAACTGCACCAAAGCAACCCTAACCGTTCTGAGAACTCATCAACCATCTGCAACCTTAGTGAACAACATCAGAAATGAAAACATCTGCCAGGCACCTAATTACTTGATCACAAGATAGGAAGACAGTCAGAGAGGGATCTTATTATCAATGCATTGTAGTCAACTCTCAAGTAGTACTATGTCGTCCCAATCAATACATTATTAGCAGTAAGCGTAGCTTTTAAAATGCACACATTTGCATCTAAAAAAAGGCTCTGTACAGTATGTTGGAGATGATGCAAAAAAAAAATAAAAAATAATAAAACAAAAAATGTGACTGCTGAAGGCACCAGCTATAAAAGACCTGGTGTCTATTCACCCAGCGATAACTAAGTTATTGCAAAGGTTAAACACAGACCAGCAATAAAGTTCTTTACTACAACGATTGATTCATCTTTCCCATACCAAGGCAACCAAGCAGAAGGAGGAGCTCTCGGTAATGGAAAGATAGCATGCGGGTACCGGTCAATACTAGTGTGTGTTTACTGAGATGCTCTTCTGATTAGCTGCCAGCAAGAGACTGAATGAGTGAAGCAGGACCGACTGCATGATCTCTGGGTATCAGGGACTGCAAGTATTGCCAGACACAATCATAAACGTCCTTTCAAAAATAAACTCATCGGCTTGTTTTAAACACAGTAACCTGGTGCTATACAAATCAAGCCTGCAAATATTCTATAAAAACATGAAGTACTCCTACCTATAAAAGCACCTAACCCCCAACTCTAAAGCCATTTTGCTGCTCCTTCTCTCATTATAATGCCTGAAGTGCAAGGAAGTCTCATTATGTGATGTCTAATTATGAATGCTCAGGATGAAAAGGCATCAAAATGAAAGTGAACAGCTTCAGAAAGAAGATGCTTTGTTCTATTAGGCAAACTAGATGCAAAAACATACCAGCTACCAACTCTGTTCTGACCTTATGGTTTGAGAGATCAATATAGAAAAAAACACAAGGAGTGGGCATTGATTTGATTTTATAAATGTATTTGTTAATTTTTCAACAACCTTCCTCAAAACCCCTAGACACTGGGCTCTTCCCCCCTTAGTAAAGTGCACATGGCATTTAATGGCACATGGCATCAGTGGTTTGTGGAAACTGAGGTGTCCAGCCGACCTTCCATTATGCTCACATTAGTGCGCTTTCTCTCTGGTCCTCCATCATTACACTTTACGTAGGTATGGAGCTGTGTGAAATGGGTGGTCATTATCTTCCCAGACAAAGTAGAAGTTCATGGAACCAATAAACACAATCCCTTTTTGAGGAGAATACTAGTGTCCCCGCTGTGAGGTTGCTGTTATAGTTCATATATATATATATATATACATATATTAGGGCTGTCAACGTTAACACATGCGATTAATTTTACAATCCTTAACGCGTTAAAATAATTTAATGGATCATTTTAAGCTGCTAAACTCCGGGAAAGTTTTCAGTGCAATGATCCAGTAAGCGAATGCATTCAAATAATCCATCCAAAACAGTGCTAATATAAAGGAAACCAGGCTGATTACATCAGAGATTGCAGAGAGAACAGAGACTCGCATTGCGTCTTCAGTGAATTATTCATTCCAGTGTGATTCGCTTTTAAACACGAGCTCTGTCATATTCTGTGATTGTCTCTGAAGAGCGTGAGCCCTCACACGTCGCGCTGTGTGAAGTACAGACTGAACGGATTGTCAACACAACACATGCAAACTGTTTTCTCGACTGGCTAACCAGTCTCGCTAGTAAAGTTTTGATGAAGACTGCAATCAAGGTAAAGACGAGACGATTGCGGTGGCGTACAGGAGTCGTACAGTAAGCACGCGTGAGTCCGTTATATTAATTCGTGTATGAGTGCTCTTGACGATTCTGTCCAAATTCCCTTTAAAATCTTAAATGATTCCCTTTGAGCTAAATTGACCTGTTTCCCTTACAGTACACATACTATACAATTCACACACATACAGTATATATATATTGTATTTTTTTTCTTTCATATGTGCTTATATGGGCTCCTTATATCATTTGGTTCTTTGGTGTCCTTTTGGAGTATT